AATTCGATAAAAACTATGCAATGCACAGTATTTATTAAAGAAAAGTCCTAATGAAATTAGTGTAATATTTCACACACAACAATGCTTCTATATAATGCAAGAAAGCAACCGGTAACTCAATTGTTGAATGTTATTCGGGAAGAATTCATTTTATATAAGGGCATTTCTGAACGTTATTGCCAAACTTTTGTCACTATGTTACTTCTTAGAGGTAGGCCTACATAAAATGACGCTTTTGCCAGATAATTGCCGTCGAAAACAGTTTATGTTCTTTGAACTGTGACTTAAGAAGTTGAACATTGAAAAAAAAAAAAAAACGTATCCGGGACAAATGATACTTGTTCACCTAGTCTAAGCAAGGATTCCCTGTATTATAGAAAAGAGAGATGGCCATACATACTTATATATATTTAAAAAAAGACATATTTAGAGATATTAAAGACCCAGACAAATAACAAACAAATTTGTTTATTATTAGTCATTCATTAGCCCGATGTGGGAATCGAAACCAAGACCCTTGGAACCTCAATCAGGGACGTTTAGTATTATGCCACTAAGTCAGAATAAATCCAATTCGCCCTGTAAGCTCGAACGATTTGTTATTAAACCTCTTAATAACTGTTAGAACGAGACATAAAGCAGGTCATAAAAATTGCTATTTTACATTAGGGATTACAGATTACAGTTCATTTCAATGTATAGTTATTTATGTCTCAAGCTTTCTGACCATAGAGCAATGACGTTATCACGAAAATCGTTCACCATCAGAGCGTCATTTTAGCGCCCACTGAAAGAGAAAGTTAATACAATTTTCACAGTATTACTTTAACACTAGAAGCAGATTCAATTCATGATTCCTTCAATATAACGACCCACGAAATTACTCATAAAACGAGCTATTGAAATTTTTATATTCACACAGTTAGTTAATAATAATTTATGAGTATTCGGAAGTCTCGTAAAAGTTGTGTTTTATGAAGAAATTTCGCTACAATTTTCTTCTCGCGACTAAAATAATGGGAAAGTCAAGGTTGAAATTGCGATAAATTTATAACTTCGTAATCATGTGATATGGGTTTTTTTTAGATGTGTGCTTTTAACGTAGATTGGTTAGGATTTTTATACGGATTTTTTAAGGCTTCGTTGATTTTGCAGCTGCTTTAATAAGAATGAATAATATTAAGTAATATATTTAGCGTTAGGCTTAATTGCGTCTATCAACAGAAATCAAAAACAGCTCCATTAGTCAAGTAGTTAGTTATCCTAACAGCTGTATCATGGGATCTAGGCTCGGATCCCGATTACACTCAATATTTTTGTATAAGATACGTTTTTTTTATTGCTTAGATGGTTGGACGAGCTCACAGACCACTTGATATTAAGCGGTTACTGGAGCCTATATACATTTACAACGTAAAAGCGCCACCCACCTTGAGATATAAGTTGTAAGGGCTCAATATAGTTGCAACGGCTGTCCCACCCTTCAAACCGAAACGCATTACTGCTTTACGGCAGAAATAGGCGGGGTGGTGGTACCTACCCGCGCGGACTCACAAAAGGTCCTACAAGTAAAAAATTTTAGCGTTTGGCGTTTAGCATTTGGCTGCATTTATTGTGGTCTCTTAGCTTTTTGTGCCAGTGGCACCCATAGCAAAGGGAAAATTGTGAGACGAACTGAAATCTCATTATAACATACAGTGCCATAGCACGTACATACATAAAGACAGCCGGTGTATTCATATCAAGTAATGCGACTAAGACGTTGTTCAAGGCTGGTACCATTTTTTAAATAAATACGTACTTAACACGTGTTCCGAATTACTTCCAAGATTGAGGAATGCTGTGATGTACAATATTGAACGTCCAAAAATTTACAAATTGCATAGTTACTGGTGATAAGAAGAGTCGTACCCGCGCGGGTAGGTACCAGTATTCAGCTTATTTCTCCCGCGAATCAGTAAACGTGTTTTTAAGGGCTTCATAACTGATATATTAGAATTAAAACTACAACCTCATGTCACAGGTTCATGGCGGTATTTTGTGATGTTTTTGGGCTTCGATAACTTAACTTTCGGTAAGCTGTAAGCTCGTTTACCAAGAAGTGCATTAAAACAAGTGCAAAGGTTCGAGGTGCCTTTTGCTAACACATACCGAAGTACCTCGTTAGTGGACCGCTCATAAAAGATCTGCTATGAGCTGTTAGGTTAGGTAATGCATTCAGAATTGCGAGCCGCTAAGAAGATACGGCGAGATACTCAGCGAGTTGATGTTGTGGCCTAGGTTTTACGACGAGTTCGATGAGACGTTTACCAGAGTCCCTATACCTGCTACCCTATACTACTGCTGTCCCTATACTAAGGTCAGAGCTGCAGGTGTATAAAAACCGTGGATCGCTGAGGACGTGCATGAGCTGATGCTAGGGAGTGGTTAGCGACGATCCCGGTTAGGTGGTGAACTCCTCTTAAGCAATCTTTACGGGCGGTAGGACCTCTTGTGAGTCCGCACGGGTAGGTACCCGCACCCTGCCTATTTCTGCCGCGAAGCAGTAATGTGTTTCGGTTTGAAGGGTGGGGCAGTCGTTGTAACTATACTTGAGACCTTAGAACTTATATCTCAAGGTGGATGGCGCGTTTACGTCGTAGATGTCTATGGGCTCCAGTAACCACTTAACACCAGGTGGGTTGTGAGCCCGTCCACCCATCTAAGCAATAAAAAAAAACTGGATCGATGTTGATGTTTTTGTGTGTATCTATGCGTTCCTAGTTGACTTGGACTCAGAATAGGATCCAGTAGGAGAAAGTGTAACCGGTTACTAGTTTTATTTTTTTATTTTTTCGGAACGACGTTTGACGGGCTAATACTCTTAAGATGTATCTAAGAATACATTTAGACTGACTTGACTTAATTGACTCTATCTAATGGATGGAGGATAAGAAAAATGCTCAATATACCATTTCGTTGATCGTTTTGCCACAATATTTCAACGGAAATTCACGTTTACTGGCAAGTTCTCTTTTTTGCGTCAAATTTTACGATGATTTAACAGACATCACTCTGAATTTCGTCATAGAGACCATTTTGTTTTAACAATATTTAGTAACTATTAGCTCACGAAGTCGTAACAGTCCTAACTCTCAATGCGTTATCAAGCGTGGTGTGGATATAAGAACGTTACTTTAGTGAATTTCCCGCTAGCAAGGTTTTATATAGGCTGTTACATACACTCGGCGGGCTTAGGGCTTTTATGGGCAGGTCATAAAAATGATGGATCATCTTGCGTTCTCTAGATGGTGAGTTTTCAGGAACATTTCCCATAAGGTCGTGTATCCGAATCGATGTTGTGTCGCGATTGCCAATGTAACGAACATATTTAGTTAAATAGCAAATCAGATGAAATATAGAACACGATGGATTTGGTTGATTAATCCACGGTGTTTCCCGAGCGCTATGACATGTCCTTCTTCAAACGAGGCTTGTGGAGAATATTAAGCGGTAAGCAGCGGCTTGGCTCTGCCCCTGGCATTGCTGAAGTCCATGGGCAACGGTAACCATTCACCATCAGGTGGGCCGTATGCTCGTCTGTCTACAAGGACAATTAAAAAAAAATTGCCGATGTATAGACAATTCCCCAACTTGGTACCATTGCCTTCACCCACAACACGTTTACAGAGATCCTTTACACCACATAACATTTGGGTCTGCGGCAAACCGAATATTAACCGAAACTATAGGCTCTATAATCGTTTAAGCAATGTTTTTTTTTTGGTGTTAAGTGGGTACTGGAGCCCATATACATCTACAACGTAAATGCGCCACCCATCTTGAGATATAAGTTGTAAGATCTCAAGTATAGTTACAACGGCTGCCCTACCCTTCAAACCGAAACGCATTACGCACAGCAGAAATAGGCAGGGTGGTGGTACCTACCCGCGTGGACTCACAAGAGGTCCTGCCACCAGTAATTACGCAAAGTATAATTTTGCGGGCTTGAGTTTTATTACACGATGTTATTCCTTCACCGTGGAAGTCAATCGTGAACATTTGTTGAGTACGTATTTCATTAGAAAAATTGGTACCCGCCTCGGATTCGAACACCGGTGCATCGCTTCAACACGAATGCACTGGACGTCTTATCTTTTAGGCCACGATGACTTCATGACATATATAAACATAAATGACTCAAAAACTAAAGCATAACGAGGTAAATTTAAATCTAACATGGTTACATCGAATCGATCATGCTATCTGTACATTAGGGAAGTGGCCGACAGACTTGAGAATCAAATTTCCGACAGCACGGCGGCACTACCAGGTGGACGAAGCGTTTCGCCTAATTGAATCATATCGATTAAATCGGCATCGTGCTGTAATCGATTTTAGGCGTTTACGTACGTTTCTTACGAGTGATCGAAATGCAAAACGGATTGGGGAGTTTTATTCGATTACCAGATTGAAAAATATTCTTGAAAGGATAGTTCTGTAGCTACTTAGTTACCGTATTAAATAAAGTTACATTTTTCGATACGATAGTAAATCATTCTTAAGAGATTTTAGGGAGTGGTTATAGAATATTTACAATATTTTGACGGTACAGGCTAGCGTTGTGAAAACTCCTATCTCTAAAGAATAGTTTTTTAGATGAAAAGTACACTATATAGTTTTATGTATCACTGACAAAATGTGCGCTTTTATAATGATCGCTTGATCTGTTAATACGCGAAATCGTAACAAACAAGCAAACTTAGTTCCACATTTAAATATCAGGATTCCAAATTTAAATAAGTAGAAAAAAAGTTGATATAGAGGTTAATTCATAACTAGGTTCATTGGTGTATGTATTACGTAAAATAGCAATTTACTAACTGTATTAATCCTATCCCAAACACCCAGTATATACAAAACAAAACAATAAAAAAAAGAAGCTTGAAATGGCGTCGTGGGATACCGGATAGGAACGAAGTTCCTTATTATAAGAATATTAATTTAAAGTTCTATTCGAGGTATAAAGAAAATAATTATTCGGGTATACATTTTTATTATGATTTTTTTATTGATAAAAATAAAAATAATCGCAAGGATCAACCACTCCGCATTGCAGTGGAGCAGCCTCGCCCTGGGGGTACCGCCTGTATGATCACGGTATCCCCTACGCCAGATAAGCATGATTTAGCAAGAGAAATACGAGAACGTCTATCAACTGTGTAACATCTCGTCACCGCGATTCAGGAATTGTTGAATTTACGTGCAGCGACATCTGTTAATAACAAACTAAATAGAAAAAAATCTTACGTTACGGACGTTTTTTCCCGGTTAGGGCACCCCTCCGCATCGTCCCATAAGGAAATTTGTTCCAAAAGCATTTACAAGACTTATGAAAAAAGACACGTTGTCAGAATCACAAACGTATGAAACTGCGCACAATATTAAAGATAGCTAAAATGTTTTCATCGAAAATTAAAACTGTTTTTGCCCTACGCGTGCGTCTACTATCAGCAAAAACATATTTCGTTAGCAATAAAATAACAAAAGCAACGTGCACACGACCGCAGTTTTTTTTTTAAATATTGAACGTAAATTTTACGGCCTTTCCATTCGCGCGTACAATCCAAAATATTGTACTGAGTTACATTGTGTTTGTCGTGTTTTCGTTTGTGTTAAAATGGCACGTTCTCTTCTGGCGAACTAAGAGCAGTTGTTTAATAGACTTGTGATTTTTTAGTTATGTTATTTTTAATGGAGGCTAGTCGTACTACCAGATAGGCGTTCAAGGTAGCGATAATACAATTCAATTAAGGCTTCAATAGTGCCTCAAGGGTCTCAACGGCTATTTTGTGATATTATCCTAGCATTAACCTAATCCTAATCTTAATTAAACTAATTATAATCAGCCTACCTTACGAAAATAGCACGTTAGATAGATTCTGGTATCCGTAACTACATTGTTATAATTAAAAGCGTTTTTATGGTCGGTCTCTCGTATTTTTTTTTCATCATCATCAACAGCCCACAGTCGTCCACTGCTGGACATAGGCCTCTCCCAATCTACACCATTGAGCCCGGTCTGCTGCTCTCCTCATCCACTTCTTCTTTTTTTTTTACTGTCGTCATATTACTTACGTCATTTCGAAAACTGCACAGTTTTTGTGGTGACAACTATAACCGTGACGCTGGGTTAAGCCGTAAAAGTAATTTAATTTTGCCCACGACTCTCGAAAACCGAACAAAAAACTGGGCAGTTATTAAGGCAATATAGCAGGAATAGCAAAAACTTTATTGATAGTAGGAAGTATCTTGCATCCTATCGTAGTAGCCTCGAGGGGTTATAGTATGTCAATTTAACATGTAGACGAGATCACGGGCTTAGCCTGCCGAATTTGCTAACACTAGCCCTAGCAAGGGCAGTTCTTTGCTGAATCTACCACTGTATCGGAATCGCGACCCTCTAAAAAGATCCGGCGAGAAACTCAGTGGACTGTGTCTGTGTGTTAATTTACTCGCAGAACCCTTCGTCGCATTCGATGGGTTCGACGAGAACGGTGATTGGTACTTGGAATGCTTAAAAGCACCGATAGTGGATTGGGAGGATCCGAGTGAAGTGTTTTGGGCGACAGCGGCTGTTTTTGCCAATTTGCAGAGTGCGATAGTCTTTATAGTATTCAATTGAGATTGCCACGTTGTATATCGATATGACGGCTGTCAAATTGTGATGTATTTGAGTCTCTAACCACTATGCCAGATGGAAAATGAGCTGCGTCTAATACTAATAAGTAATAATAAGAATAATCATGACCCCAGTTTTTTTTGTAATTTTCCAAACTTGGAAACTTTTCTGCGCTGGCAACATACTTTTTTTAACTTGTATATTTGTTTGGATACAACTGAATTATTGGAGATCATTTTAACCGAATTCAACAGGTCCGATTAACTTGAAAATCTGCACACGCATTGACGACGGACGAAGACAATATAATAATTTTATAACTGCACTGTAATATCGTGACCAGTAGTATCAAAAATATAATGTGAGACGAACTTAAATTTGATTTCGATTTGTTATTTATGCGTGTTTTGTTTTTTAAGCTTCATTTATTATATAATGTAGTAGCAGCATTAGTCTCATATAGACCCACAAGAAAGCTCTGTATATATTTCTACGACATGCGTTGAAATTCCTATTTATCTCCTAAAAAATCTCCTTTCTTACTGGTGGTAGGATCTATTGTGAGCCCGCACGGTCCGTACCACGGAATAGATAAATAAGGTTGGAAAGGCCTTTGCTCTAATTTTGTATTAGAACCAGTGTCGCCGCTTCATCCCCACTATTTTAATTTCTACACATACACACACTGTGATAACAAGTATTTCGCACACAACAAAAACACCCACACATAAATCTCAGGACAGATATTCGTTCGCAAACTAGCACAAAACACCCGTAGGCATACACACTCACACACGCAAAAATGTTCATACACGCTAGTGCTTGATAAAATCGATATTCTTTATCGATAAATTATCTGATGAATGAATGGAGAAAATGAAACATGAAATAAATATTGAAAAAAAAAACTATTTTACTTTTATTAATTACAAATAGTCTCTGTCGCTGGAATAAAACGTATTTGTTAAGCAGTTGGTGCTTGATATTAATTGCGAATGAATTTTTCAAAACTAAGTGTATTCTGATTTTTTTTATGGTAAAATCATTTTCAGTAAAATATTTAGAGCAAATAGTACTCGTCTTTGTCTCCAGTTTCTTCTACCTGTCACGTCAATCCATTGTTCCCTGGCGTTAGGTTCTTTAGGAAACCTAAAATTTTTAATTTACTGCATAAGTCAAATAGCATTTTACTTAGATTTTAATACGTCTTAGACAATATAGTAAATACCCGTAAATGAGAGGTCTACATGTCCCTTTATATTATACCTTCACTTTAATTCAATGATAATAATTCAATAATAATAATNGGCGCAGGGGCTTTTGTAGGCGGTGACAAACAACTATGCGTCATACTTGTTTGTCATCGCTCGAACGTTGGCTTTAATTTAAAATTGTATTTACTGCAATTATTTATAAATATATTATTACTTAATTTACTAACATATTTCTATACCTATACATTTGTGTTATATATCTATACCTATACATAGGCATAAGCTATCACGTGCGTCTACTATCAGCAAAAACATATTTCGTTAGCAATAAAATAACAAAAGCAACGTGCACACGACCGCAGTTTTTAAAAAAAATATTGAACGTAAATTTTATGGCGTTTCCATTCGCGCGTACAATCCAAAATATTGTACTGAGTTACATTGTGTTTGTCGGGTTTTCATTTGTGTTAAAATGGCACGTTCTCTTCTGGCGAACTAAGAGCAGTTGTTTAATAGACTTGTCATTTTTTAGTTATGTTATTTTTAATGGAGGCTAGTCGTACTACCAGATAGGCGTTCAAGGTAGCGATAATGCAATTCAATTAAGGCTTCAATAGTGCCTCAAGGGTCTCAACGGCTATTTTGTGATATTATCCTAGCATTAACCTAATCCTAATCCTAATTAAACTAATTATAATCAGCCTACCTTATGAAAATAGCACGTTAGATAGATTGTGGTATCCGTAACTACATAGTTATAATTAAAACCGTTTTTATGGTCGGTCTCTCGTATTTTTTTTTCATCATCATCATCATCATCATCAACAGCCCACAGTCGTCCACTGCTGGACATAGGCCTCTCCCAATCGACACCACTGAGCCCGGTCTGCTGCTCTCCTCATCCACTTCTTCTTTTTTTTTTTCTGTCGTCATATTACTTACGTCATTTCGAAAACTGCACAGTTTTTGTGGTGACTTAACTATAACCGTGACGCTGGGCTAAGCCGTAAAAGTAATTTAATTTTGCCCACGACTCTCGAAAACCGAACAAAAAACTGGGCAGTTATTAAGGCAATATAGCAGGAAGAGCAAAACCTTTATTGATAGTAGGAAGTATCTTGCATCCTACCGTAGTACCCTCGAGATCGAGATCACGGGCTTAGCCTGCCGAATTTGCTAACATTAGCCCTAGCAAGGGCAGTTCTTTGCTGAATCTACCACTGTATCGGAATCGCGACCCTTTAAAAAGATCCGGCGAGAAACTCAGTGGACTGTGTCTGGGTATTAATTTACTCGCCGAACCCTTCGTCGCATTAGATGAGTTCGACGAGAACGGTGATTGGTACTTGGAATGCTTAAAAGCACCGATAGTGGATTGAGAGGATCCGAGTGAAGTGTTTTGGGCGACAGCGGCTGTTTTTGACAATTTGCAGAGTGCGATAGTCTTTATAGTATTCAATTGAGATTGCCACGTTGTATATCGATATGACGGCTGTCAAATTGTGATGTATTTGAGTCTCTAACCACTATGCCAGATGGAAAATGAGCTGCGTCTAATACTAATAAGTAATAATAAGAATAATCATGACCCCAGTTTTTTTTGTAATTTTCCGAACTTGGAAACTTTTCTGCGCTGGCAACATACTTTTTGTAGCTTGTATATTTGTTTGGATACAACTGAATTATTGGAGATCATTTTAACCGAATTCAACAGGTCCGATTAACTTGAAAATCTGCACACGCATTGACGACGGACGAAGACAATATAATAATTTTATAACTGCACTTTTTATAACTGCACTGTAGTATCGTGACCAGTAGTATCAAAAATATAAAGAGAGACGAACTTAAATTTGATTTCAGTTTGTTATTTATGCGTGTTTTGTTTTTTAAGCTTCATTTATTATATAATGTAGTAGCAGCATTAGTCTCATATAGACCCACAAGAAAGCTCTGTATATATTTCTACGACATGCGTTGAAATTCCTATTTATCTCCTAAAAAATCTCCTTTCTTATTGGTGGTAGGATCTATTATGAGTCCGCACAGTCCGTACCACCACCCTGCCTATTTCTGCAGTAAAGCAGTAATGTTTTTCGGTTTGAAGGGTGGGGCACCCGTTGTAACTATACTGAGACCTTAGAACTTATATCTGAAGGTGGGTGGCGCATTTACGTTGTAGATGTCTATGGGCTCCAGTAACCACTTAATACCAGGGGGGCTGTGAGCTTGTTCAGCCATCTAAGAAATATTTTTTTTTAAAGTGTGTTGTTAATATTTACGTCATT